TAGTGTTACGTTATTATGAGAGTGCTCTCATACTTGTTTGATTCTGAAATTGTATATATTTATAAATATTATTATTGTCTCATTATACCGCACTGTGAATGAATTAAAAGTAAATATATAAGTCGTCATGAACACATCTGTCCATCAGACAGAGGGCTGCTGTTCCTCCTGTCATCATTAATGGACGTCTCTTTAAAATGACCGCTCAGAGGAGAGGAGAGTTCTCATTTCTCTAACCGCCTGCTGCTTCCCCTCCTCGACTCCTCCGCTCGCATCTCCTATGGGCGGGACTAAGACACGAGGATAGGAGTCGAGGAGGGGAGTCGAGGAGGGGAATTAGTGAAATGTGAAAGGGCCTATGAGTGCTATTGGTATTTTTTGTCATATAAAATGAACAATAATGATTCAGTATCACTTAATATTCATGCATACAAACACAAAGGTTGACCTTTAGTAAGCAAATGTGTTATGCAAAGGCTGACATTAATAATAATGCATTTCATTTACAGGCCTGATTTTAGTATATGTATTGTCTTTGAGCTCAGCAATCTGTGACTCATTCTGTAACCTATACTTTGTTTTATCCCTACTACATTCATACACCATGACATACACTCCATGTAATCAGAGGTTCGTTAACATATTCAATGATTCAACATATAACATTGAAAATGAATCACTACATATTAAGTCTTTTAGTTTCTGTTCGCATTGTAGTTTAAAAAAGGAATTTTGAATAAGATACAAATAACGAGTCAAAATGAATCTGGATCAGTGTTTGTAAATCTTTAAGGAACTACCATACTGTGACACTGATACATTTCTCTAAGTGGTCTCTTAACCAAGAAATGGATTTAAATCCCCCAATGTTAATCAAATACATTAATTATTTAAAGACAATTAAACAGATCAAAAGTACTGTATGTCCCCCACAATCCATTTTGTAAAACTTGTCAAAGAAAGTATGCAACATTCTTGAAAATAAATCCCTTGGAGGAAATATGAAATTAAACTAGAAATGTAGTGTGTCTGCTGTTTTCTCCAAGATGAATTCAGATAAACATTTGTAATCAGCAATAACGCTGCCATTTCATATAGAACAGAATTCAGCACTTGTAACAAATGCATATTTCTCAAGTGTGTTGAATTAACTATAATAAACAAATACATAAGAGTCTGGAACCAGGCAAGCTTTATTGGTTTGAACTTAACAAAACACTGCTGGCAGATACAAATCACACTCCTGCATATAGCATGTTTGCAAAAATTATGAAAAATAAACAATTAAAGTCACATTAATCTTAAGATCGATTTTTGACCAGTATTGAGTCAGTCAAATGTCATTGGACTCAACATGTAAACTTTAAACATTTCTTTACCTTGATAATGTCAACACGTCTTAGGTAGACTGTGTAATGTGTGTTCAGTATGAATATTTACACCATGATCACAGTTAGGGATCTGGAAGTAAAGGAAGTAAACATTTGAGAAAGCGGCTCACAGCATCAAAACTGTACGTCTCTGCTGTGATGTCCTCAGAAACACTGTTGGTTCTGATTTTTATATCTGAGAAAACAACTCCTCAGAAGTCAGCTACATAAATGTGTGTGTGTGTGTGTGTGTGTGTGTGTGTGTGTGTGTGTGTGTGTGTGTGCTTGTGTGTGTGCTCACTACACAGCATGAATGCTCAGCTTTGGCAATTAAAAAGAAACATCGCAAAACATCAGCAAAAGCTCTCATACTCATCGGCTAAGTTATTTCCTATTTATTTTCCACAAAGCAAATATTCATAACAGATGCTAACACAGCAGTTAATTTGATACATTGTTCTTCTCTTAACAGTATCACAGGATGTAAGCATAACATTTTTCCGCGTAGGTCTAAAAAGGCTACAAATAATGCCCTATGCTGGGCATGATTGTTAATATGCTACAAAAACAAGAACTTCTTAAGTGTTTCACTTTAATTCACTGTGCAACATGAAAACTTCAATGGGAGTCAAACTGAAAATCCTAAATGTTCCCCAAAAAATGCCACTCAACATATGCACATTTCATATTGATTTCCTGATGAGGGCCTTGAGATTGGGTCAAGACTTCAGAACAGGCGAGCAAGTGGATCTTGAGTTGAAACAGTAGTAATTGATTCAGTATTCAGTTAAGTAAATCATTCTGTCACAATCTATCAAAAACTGGATTTTGACATTTCCAACCTCCTCCCTTCAATTTAACGATGACATGCCATAGCATAAAACTTAAATATGGGTTATTGAAAGCCGTTGGAAAAAAAAGGCGAAGTATTATTTTACCTGGGACTTTTTGGAATATCAATTTGGCTAAGATGTTGGGTAGTTTACAGTGGCTGAGACAATTCACAGGTATTTCCATTCAAATGGTACAATAGTCTTTCCTCTATCACAAGACAGATGAAACCTTCATCTCTGAAATACACTTGATAAGTAATTGTCTGGACCCAACAGATATTAGTGAAAAGATGTAGACTCCAATAAATTGAGACTGAGCTACTTATATGAATAATAGATTAAACCAGGAGGTACATTGAAATGCAAAGCCATCTGTCTCAGGTTTTCAGTTTGCCTCCCATGTACGCATGTGTTCATCAAAGTGCCATATCTTAATATAAACCTTATATTATCATAAATAAAACCAGGAAGAGTCGGTTTCCATTTCTGAACCTGGCTGTAAGAGTTCTGGTTTCAAATACCAATATCTACATACCTAAGAAATCACTTCCATGGCAACAGCATCTCCAAGGCAGCCATTTTGATTGAAACCAGGATGATCACGGACAGCCTCTTGTTCAGTCAATGCTAACGTTGCAGAATCCTGCTGACGCGACCGAGGAACATTTCCAACCTCAATCGACACTTTAGAAAGTCTCTCAGTTTCATCCATCAACATTTAAACATTCACTCCCAAAGCTTCTCTCTTAAAATACAGCTTATAAAAATGTAATAGCTAAAACACCTAAAACATACTTTAATATATACACCTCATGGTACGGGATTACGTTTTTGTTTCAGCATGAGGGGGAAGAATACTTTCTATACAGTTAAAGTGTAAATCTCTATGCATATACAGTTTACCTCCGATTGTGTATATAATATTTGTGATACTGTATGAACTACGGATTATTATCATATAGACATTATTTATCATATCAGTCAGTTCTTCATGAACACGGTTGGGAAGCAATACTGGGAAAGAATCCCTGATAATGCTACATTATAAACAACACATCTGTGTTGTTATTGGCAGGAGGAGAGCTAATTCACGTTAGCTGCTAGCAGTTAACTAGCCGATGACACATAATAATGGATTCGTAATGCTACACTACTGCTTGGCCAACAGCTACAGCTAATGTCAACAGACAGCAGCAAGGTGACATTAAGTAACATAATGGTGTGATCGAGATCAAACATTTTAAAATTGGGTAAAGGTCAATCACAATGTGGTTCTTATGTGTTCAAATGCCATCTTGAAATATGGTTGTTAGAAAGAAAGGTTATCTTTTATATGTCCACTTCAATGTTGACATGAATATTGTATATAATATATTGGTTTTTCTTTAGTTAAGTTTTATTGTAAATGGGTAATATGTTATTAATTTGGGATTAATTAACATGCATAATGAACAACTAGGCATTTCATCGCTGATAGCCCTAATTTGAAAATATTCTGGGGTTCCGTTATTTTTACATTCACAGTAAACTGAACCAATATCACTCTGAATTGTCTTTTTATCCATCACCTGTACTCCTTATCATAATCAACATCCATATCACTGTAGTCTTGTTTGGAATTACAAGTCAGTGTTTTACAGTGGTTGCTCTTATGGTTTCATTATTTGTTAAGAAAGTGGTCAAAGGTAATGAAGATGTAACATAGTAACCTTCCCAACCATGTCGATGACATTCCAAAAAGATATTTGATCCATTTTCTTAAAATCTTTTTAAAGGAGGCATCCTTATTCCTTGTTTGATGAAAGGATAATACATTTTTAGCCAGATACCTTATTTCACATGTTTGTTCTTTTAGTGAATGGCCAGAGTTGTGGAAAAGATTCAGCTTCCTGTTTCCTGTGCTGCTTCACCCTGGGTATCACGGCCCCGATGATGTACAGTATGTACCCGTCAGAAACCTCACAAATGTCTTGTTGCTACTAATCATCGTATCCCCTCCCGTTTTCCCTCCCAGCGTGTTTAAAGTTCTGTCTTCGTCTCGGGCTGAGCAGCAGCAGTGAGTCATCCCTCCACCCACCTGCTCCTCCCCTCCTCCCCTCTTTTTTCTTTCCTCTATTTGATCTCCCTAAACCTCCCTCCTTCAACCACTCTGCTGCATCTTTCCTCCCACACATTTTGTAGATAGAGGAATTGTGTTTGTGTGTGTGTGGTGTGTAAGAGCTATAACCAATCTGCCCCCCCCCCCAGTTGTGTTTTGTTTAAGTAGCCTAGCATGGCGAGGCACTCATTCGCATGTGCGCGTGATAGCGCGGAGGAGGCACGGCTGATGGTGGCACCCCCATCGGCAGGGACTGGGGTGGGGGTCCGCTGGGGTGGGGATGGGACTGAGGGTGGCCATGGGATGCTCTGGGTAGGGTGGAGGTGGCGGCCAGATGGAGGGGGTGTGGGTAGGAGGAGGAAGTGGAGGAGGAGGAGGCCGGCTGGTGCTGGTAGCTGGCAGCTGATGAAGGCCCAGAGGAAGAGGGCGTCTGCTGGGAGCTGCTGCCCCCCTTGGGTTGCGACTTTGAAGGTGGAGTCTGCTGGTTGAGCTGGATGGATATGTCGGAGGATACCTCGGAAGCGCTGCGGCCCCGCTGGGGGGGGGGCCAGGAGTCTGGGTGGAGGAACTGGCCACTGTAGTCGCTGCATTCAGACATACGGGGTCGGTAGAGGGCGGGGTGAGGCCGGTACAGCTCCTCCTCAGCGTAACGCTTCATGAAGAGATAGACTGACATGACTCCTGCCCCCTGCGACACATAGAGAAACACAAAGATACTAGGGTTATTGCAATATCATATCCTGTATGTCCTGTACTACACATTTTGTTTTGTGGAGTTACTCCTAATGAGTACTTAACCTGAAAAACACCAAAAAATGTTTTGGGGGACATTTGTTTTTGATGGTTTTTTTAAAATTATAAGTCTGCAAAAGTCGTAATGAGGACGTTGGGGTGGATCAAACAAACACAGGACTTTTACCCAGAAAACTTATGTTTGTGTTCCGAGTAAAGACCAAACTCAACATTGACCTTTTCAAAAGACTGGAAAAAGCTAATTAGGTGCACCTTGGAAAATGTAGCTTCCTGCTTTTAGGAGCTAGACCCGTATAAAGCTGTACAAATCAGCACAACTGGGTTAGGGTTATAGGGTTAGTGTGTTGCTGCATCCATCCTTTTCTCAAATTGCATCTCTCACCACAGCCACCACAAACTTTGTGGAAAGAAAACACAAATGTATCTAAAAATAAATAAACATTTCCACCAGGTTAAGAGGATTATGAGTCCCTGTGCCTTCTTGCTTTAATACGGATTGTATGTTCCTGTTCATGCACTGAATGTTATATGTGGCTGTATCCCTCTCATAGTGTATTACTCTAACTACAGGCCCTTCACATTTTCCAAAACAATTATTGTTCTGCTCTGTAGTTTTATCTTTTATGATGTTTATTAGAATATTGACAGCATATTAAGAAGCAACATACGTGGATATTACAGTCAAAAACCTATATAACCTACTACAGGAAAGGGAAACCCCCCAAAAGAATAGGGCCTTAAACATGAGTGAATCAAAAAGAGATCCAAACTTCTCACACAATTCCCTGACGCAAATCATTACTTGAAAAATTCAGAATTAGCCTGCCTAATCTGCAACAAACCGCCACCAGGAGGGGATGAAATTAAATAAACCCATAATCAGGTTGCAGACAGTCTCTCTGCGCTGGAATGCTCTATTATCAGAAATGTATTCATGTTTTCACCCGGGCATCCGCCAAGCATTCACAGCTCAACTATTCATCCACAACAACATCGATACAACCACCCTGAAACTTAACATTCTGTTGGATGTATTTCTGTGTCTGAGAGTGTGTGTGTCTGTGTGTGTGTGTGTGTGTGTGTGTGTGTGTGTGTGTGTGTGTGTGTGTGTGTGTGTGTGTGTGTGTGTGTGTGTGTGTGTGTGTGTGTGTGTTGTGTGTGTGTGTGTGTGTGTGTGTGTGTGTGTGTGTGTCGTGAGTGTGTGTGTGTGTGTGTGTGTGTGTGTGTGTGTGTGTGTGTGTGTGTGTGTGTGTGTGTGTGTGTGTGTGTGTGTGTGTGTGTGTGTGTGTGTGTGTGTGTGTGTGTGTGTGTGTGTGTGTGTGTGTGTGTGTGTGTGTGTGTGTGTGTGTGTGCCTAAAAAGTGTGTGTGTTTGAGTGACAAAAGAAGGAGAAAATAAAAAGAGGGGAGAAAGAATGGAAAAACTGAGGTGATTTGAGAAGGGAAAGGATAATGGAGGATTAAAGAATGAAAGAGAAGAGAGGAGGATAAGACAAAAGGATAACCGAAGGTAAGAAGATAAAGAGATGGAGGCGATACAAGAATAAAAACAGGGAGAGGAGATGATTGGAATAGTGAAAGAACTGAAAATAAGAGAAAGAGAAAAGATAGATGACAAATACAAAGAGACAAGGAAGAGGAGAGAAGAGAGGATGGAAAAGGGACAACATAGAAGATAAGAGGGGACAAAATGAACATGTACATGTAGGAAAGAAAATGGGGAACGGGGAAATAATGAAAATAAGGGAATGCATATATGAAAGGAGACAGAAGAAAATAGACAGGAGATCAGATAAAAGAGGAAAAAAAGGTAAATGGGATAAGGGGAGATGGGCGAGAGAGGCTGCAAATGAAGTGGGAGAGAAATAAGGTAACAGGGGAACTAAACCACAAAACAAAGAGGAGGGGACGCGATAAGAGAAGAAGAGAAGAAGAAAAGAGAGGGTAAGGGACAACAGAGGATTACAGAACTGAAGATTAAAGAGACAAGATAAAAGTAGAGGACTTAGAGAGAAACGGTGGGAAAAAAGGAAGATATAAGTGAGGAGCTAGGAGATGAGGATGAAGGACGGAGAAGAAGGAGTTGCAGAGCCCCCCCCCCCC